TACAGTCAAAACTAGCTGGTAACTCTTAAACAAGTAGCTTAAGCTATTTCAGTTCATACATTTAAATATTCTGTCTCAAAATGGCTTCTGAACAGCAGTCAAGCTCATCTCCCAGAGTCACCAAAAAAAAGGCTGAGAGTTTTGCTTGCTCTTTGGCATTCCAACATGACATAAAGGCTTGGTTTGGATTCTCAAGCTCCTCTAACTGTGAGAATTAAAGAGAATTTGAATTTAAATGGAAGCCAAGGCTCGCTTGGTTCTGTGTTTCGGGGATGCCAGGGCTTTCAGAAGCACACACATACTGTCAGATGGCACTAACAGAACAGCTGCACAGGCAGGTCAGGCGTCCAAGAGCAGGAAAAGGAGACCTGCCATACTAATTTCCACTACGATCCCTCTCCCCGCCATCCCACCTTCACGCCTCTCCTTCTGAAATAGGAAGCTGAAGCTTGAAGGTTTAATCACTTTGTCTGATCACTGGCTGCCTGTAATGGGATTGAACCCAAGATGACCAGATGTTAGAGAACCCCAAGTGAAGCTCACTAATTGAGCACAAATATTACCTGAACGAAGCTAAATCAATGTAAAGCAACTGAGCTAGGGAAAAAAAAATATTTTTTTGCTTTATGAACTGTAATAACTAGATTAATTTCGCCACTTTATTTCATAGAACATAGAAAAAGTTTCAAGAACACTTTGGCTTATCAAGACAATACTTAAGGCGCTCCCTCTTCCTTAAGAAAATAGGGGTATATTACATAGTCAAGCAACTTAACCCAAGATCTGGGCAGCCTTACAATACAATCTGCATTTTAAACAAAAAACACAAAAAAACCCACCCTCACACTGAAATATGCTCCCAACAGACTACTGGTACAAGGCCCTATGCTGAAATGAACCTGCAGTTTCTGCGGCTGGGCCACCAGATGCTGGAAAAGCAGCTGAAATCTAGGGCAGAGCATACAAAACACACAGCTCAGCGTGCATCTCTGGTATTACCTAGGGGATCTCCGAACTGTTTTTAATGTTTGGTTAGCAAGTGTCTGACAGAAACCCACTGCAAGGAACACAGGCAGACCAAAGACCTTGTGCACTCAGATCATGCTCAATACTTGTTTACGTACAAAAAGACAATATAGGGATTTGTACTAACCAGAGGTTTTAACAACTCTGGGGTTGGAACGGGGGTGGACAGACTTTCAGAGGGAGAAGGTGTTTAATATATCATATGAGAAAAATGCAACTATCTTAACATCGTTTGCTGACCTTTTTTCATCCCTCTGAAACTCTGGGGTATATGGAACATTCTTCATCCTGTTTCATATGTGACAAAGTGTTTAAACTTTCTTTTGCAAAAGCAAAGCCTGCTGCCTTCTGCAAGAAAGGCACTTACTCCTAGTGCAGAAAGGGAGATAAAAGGAAAGGGAAATGTTGTAGTTTGGCCTCGGGTTTCAGGCTCTGGAGCCATGTTTTGTTTCCATACCAGAGGAGGATGGCCTGCTCTGCTGTGCAGCAGCATCTGTCCAGCAGCATCAGGCAGTGCCAGCAGAGCCATCTCGTGGCGACACATGTGCTTGGAAAGAAGCCCCAAAGCCACTGCCCACAGCAAATTAAGAGAACTTTGTCACTTATATCATGCTCAGTATTTGTTTCCCTATTAAAAAACCATATACAAAGTTAAGACAAAGAATGCAAAACACGCTTTTACTGTGTGCAAGGCCACGAAGTTATGCCGCAGACCTAGCTTTGTACACAATTCCTCAACAATAACACAATCAAACATTTCAGAAACAATATTAGTCCTCACTTGAACTAAAACATTTCACATTAGCACTGCTGCAAGCTGTTAAAAGCACAGTATTTTCCTTTCAGTCAGCACTTGCTCCCACCAAAACATCTCTTCCTTTGCGCTTTAGGATGCATATGCCTTACTTCACATGAGCACCCTAATGAAAACTGCCGCTACAGTCTCCATGACTTTAATTGGATTCCTTGGAGCCTTGGAATTAGATAAGGAAAGCTAGCTGCAAACACTGTAGCACACACCCAAAGCAATCCTTCAGCGTTATGTAAAGCCCACAATGTCGTAAGAGGATTAGCCCAGAATTTGCCAAATTATGATGTCCAGCCAGGTGCTAGAAAGAGTAAACCCCTTTCTTCTTAAGCCATGCCTTTCCAATAATATTTTAAAAGTTAACTGTTATTAGAGCTTTATTTAGGACAAATTTGTAGGTGACCATACAACTGCTCATCAGGTCTCCCTCCTCCATCTCCCTCTACTCACATGGTTCACCCAGGTCCATGATGGGGGCCCATCTGATCATTAAACTTGTCTAATCTGGCTGCTGGGTTTAGGAAAAAAGTAAAAGAAAAACCTTGAGCAGAGATGAAATAGCTAGAGCCTGATGGGACGTATGATTAAACCTCTTCTGACTGGGGAAAGGCAATCTCTGGGTAGCAGAGACCATGCTGTCTGAACACATTCGTGCCTTTTAACATAAATAAATTAACAAGCGGGGGCTGAAAAGCCTGATCCACGAAAGCTACTCTTCTCCCTCAGGAAAACAAAGCTATTTGCAGCCATATTTGGAGCCAGGGATGTAGAACTCTTGCTGCCTTTCACACAGCAGTCCCCCCTCCCCAAAAACTTCACATTATACTCAAAGCACTGCACTAAAACAACACCTAACACCCCCATTAGGACCTTGCAATATCTCACCCAGGCTTATTTATTCTATAGCCTCACTAAAAGCAAGTACATTAAGCTTTACTGTAAGCTTTACTGTATTTTTTTTTTTAAAGAGTTACAAACATTGAAGAAATCTCATAGGAGAAGTAGGTATCCTTATCACTTCAGGGAAAAACAGATTAGACATAACAGGATCAAATCCTAAGACTGGCCTGTAGTAAATTGACACTGTTTTAAACTGCGGAGCTTGATAGCCCTTCCCCTCCTGGTACAAGGTAGGAAAGCTGAAAAACATTATCTTATACACTCAAGGCAAGCAAGCTCTCCAATTTCTTCAGTTAGGGTCTTGTTTTCATCTTGCCAAAGATTTAGATAATGCTCATAACTGTTCTCCAGCTATCCCAAAAAAGGGAAAAACAAATCTCCAAACCAAGAACAAGAAATTACATCCCCTCCCTCCGCCATGTAGGAGGGAAACAAGTTCTGCTTAAGCAGACAAACAACTGGTTGTACAGCCAGGGGAGGCACTGGGGAGGGGAAGGGGATTAGAAAAGCTGAGAGATGCAGATGAGGAGAAGAGTCTGGCCCAAAGGTAACCTGTGTTAGCACCTCAACATCTCTGCCTCAGTTCTGCACACAGGAACAGGCCAGTTTTCTCACAGGGCAGTTCAGCGAGTTTTAATTACTAAGCTAAACCCCAAGTGCCTCGTTATACCTGCTTCAAGAACCTGAAGTTATTTGAAATAGTGAGTTAGGATGGTAATGTTCAAGGGATACACATCTGGGAGGACACAACTTAAGGAACCTCTATTTTAAACTAATATATCATGATTTTAGCACTGAGAAATTCTGGTGTTGAGATGTTTTAGAATCTGTAACTTCTAGAACAAAGCATTATTTTAAAATATCCTTAAACCACATGCAAAAGTGTTAACAAGTCTTCATGTTTCTCTGTTACTGCCACTTCTTCAATGCTAAAATATAAACCACCTACCATTAGAGGAACTATAATTGAATACAATAATACACATCTGAAATGACCAAAGCTCAGTTTTATAATCTCTTTACCCACATCCATCCTTCCTACTTGTTTGCTACCATTTAATGAACTATGTTAGTATGGAAAATTCAAAATTACATTTTCTGTATTACAGGGCACCTGATACACTTCTAAACAATGCAAATAAGTGCCTTAAACAGACCAGAAATCCCCATTGTATAATTCCCCATTCTGTAGTCCTGGAGGCCCTGTTTATTCTGATGGGTGATCATTATAGTTCTTCTGCATACCCCACTTTCATCAATGCTGATAAGCATCAAGATTAAGGCAAAAAAAGAAAAAAAAAATTTCTTCTGAAAGAAGTGACGAGGTTACCTGTCTATGAGCAAATGTTTTCTTCTTTTACATAGCATAGATCAAGGCCAAAAAATAAAAAATTAACCAAGGCACTACTTGTCACAGGTGACTAGCCAAACTTAGCTGGGGGGGAGAGGGCGGAACACCACACAGGCAAAGATACAAAGAATTTAAATTGCATACTGAGAAAGAAACCTAATAGATGACCCCCAAATCTCACTGTTTTCCTTTTTACTCAGCTAGGGAAGCAAGTATCTGTTTAAACCTCTCCTTTTTTCTAAGTAGTTTCTGATAAAGCTATTAACACTAATAAATACCAACTGGGCTAGTAAACGTTCATAACCAGCAGAGACAGCACCACATTTTACTATATATGCACATAACCAGGAGATACATGCAGCAAGAAATCAAAATAAGTAGATCCTCGGATCAAGGGAGAAACAAAGCTTTAGCTATTAAACATTCGAGTCTGAAGCTCACAAACAGTGTGGACCTTACGAAGATGCTGACCTGCAGACCTCACCAGTAACAGCAAGTCATCAATCTTTACACCTTGGATTTGCCATTACCCAGAGTGGTGGTATCTTGCACAGTTCTAATATTTTGAGATGGAAAGCACTGTGTGTATGATAAGTGTAGCAGTCACACACTTTGGACAGTGCTTTCTCTGAGAAGCCCAAGGCAGCCCACAAAATATTAACATAAATAATAGCATCTTCTGTGGACTAGTAATGATAGCTTATTTTACAGGCTGAAAAACTGAACAGAAGGTAGAGTAGAAAAGCAAGAAACAGGATTTGATCTCAACCTTTGCTCTTAAAATAAACTGTTCAGCCTAAAACCAGCAACATACAAAAGTCCCGTTTTAGCAGGCCTAGCAATATCACAATAAGCAAAAGTGTTCTCTGATGCTTAAGTGATGCAGCTTTTTGGTCTTGTGCTTTAGACACTTACGTTCCACCTGAATACCATCTGCATGGGGTTTGCTTTTTGGTTCCTGGCTCCCAGCTTTTGCATCATCATCATCAAGCAGAGGAACATAGTCTGTTTTATCTACTGTTTCTCCAACCACATCATCAAATTTCTCTGCTTCCAGAGTGGCAATGAAGTCCCTTTTCACTTCTTCCTCAATCTCGGGAGGTGGCTCTGTCAGAGCATCCGCAAGACTGAGGTTGTGATCCAAGTCAGCCATGCTTTAGCACCTTTGCAACCTGAGAAGTGACATGGGGAAAAAGAAAGAAACAAACATTTTAATAAGAGACCTTTTAAGTTTACTCAGTTTGATGTTGACAACTGCATGTCTCCTGTGCCATAACACAATAAGAAACATTTGCTTTAGCACTCAATAATTCCCAGATGTTTACAAAACCCCCACACCAGTACAGAAACAAACAGCTACATCATCTAAATTGGGTTTTACTGCATGAACATTACATTTCATGTGATGTTTTATCAGAATCTTAAAAAAAAAAAAGGAGGAAAAAAACCAGTACATGGCCAGCATAAACACAATCTTACATAGATTTCTGCCTTGCCCCAGATCTGCGAGTTAATTACATATCCTCAGCAGCAGAAAGACAAACGACGCAAGCAAATTTAATTCTTGGGCTGGACTCCACCCAGCTTCCCCTATGGAGATTAGGATTTTACATAATCTCTGATGTACACTTCAGTGATGCTTTTGATTCCTTTGATAGGGTCCTGTAGCATGTTTATGTCCTCAGCAAACCTTGCTAATACCAACAAACCTACTCTAGCCCTGGGATTTGTGCTGGAAGGTGGAGTTTTAATAATGCTTACATGAAAAAATATAGTAAAAGTACACATGTACGCATTATATATAAAGCTATAAATTGGAAACAAAGTAGAAAAAAAAAAATCACCGTTTATCTTTTCCTCCCTGATTTGTATCGCAGCATTCAATTTCACTTCCTGGCACTAAACAGAAAATGTACCTGAACCAATTCATTTGTTTTGCAGCTAAAGCTTTCAGGTTGGCATAACAAAGGCACCCATAAACAGTTACTTATTTTTTCGCATTTCATACTTTTGAAGTTATTATTAGGAGCAACAGCCAACAAATACTGATGTGAATTTATAGAAAGCTGTCTAAGGGAGCAAAACCCACCACTTCTGATTGACAAAAGGCGCATTTCTGAAACTTTCTTTCAGAGCAGCGTTAGTCAGTGCTCTGTATGCACAACGCTATCAAAACAGCAAAGATATCAAAAACTCTAGTCATACATTTCAGCCATTTGCAGAAATTGTCTGGTACAGACTAAAAACCAAAACCATAAAGGGCCATTAGTATCTAAACTGGCATACTTACAACTCCTACTACGGTCACCCCACTTCCTTTAATTTTGGTCTATGTTTGGAAGCACATAGCAATTTGATGCTGATCTGTATTACACTCACTAGTAGATGCACAATCTGCGCAGAGACTCTGCCTGTTAATGAAAGATTTACCCTGTCTTAGGAGTCCGGCAAGCCAATGCAGCAGTGCCTTGTTGAGAATTAGTAGAGAACGAGGACACGGAAGCCACAAGTTCAGAGTTCCAACAACAAATTCATCCAAACAAAAGGATACGAAGGAGCTCAGGTAAAGTGAGTCATCATTTTACAACCAATCCTCACTATATTGGACAAGAACCACCAAGCCACATTAGGAAAAAAATAGAAATAGAGCTGAAGATACAAAACTGCATACGTAAAGAGGCAGACACACTCACAAGAAAAACACAATGGGCATTTGTATGTGTTGGTTAATGAAGGCCTGACCCGAGTGGTCACTGTGCAGCAGTCCAGGGTCACTGACTTACGTGATGATGGCAGAACACAGATCCTCTTGTTCCAAAAACACAAAGGCTCCTACTCCTTGAACTACAGGAAATTCTTCGTCAGCAGTATACGGTCACTGACACATACCTACAGGCTCAAGCCTGTATAAGGCAATATTTCACATTCTTTATAAACAATGGTATTACACTGATATTGTTGTTTATGTAATTGCATGCAAGTATATTATGGAAACTAATTCAGTTAAATCTATTCTTTTTTCTTTAACAATAAGAGGTCAGACTTCAAGCCAGATCAGACTTCCAGCAGCAACTGCAGTTTTTGTTGGTTTAGATAAAGGCCCTGAAGAATTACCACTTAGTGGAAATCTAGAGGTGAAAGGTTTGGAGCCCTTAACCCTTTGTGCAGGGTCACAGTTGAATGAATTACGGTTATTAAAAAAGCCATCTTTATACTTAAGTGAAAGAGTCTTGTTAAAAAAGTTTCTTTCAGATAGAGTTCTTGACTGTTTTCAAGACACACCATCGTACAGATCTGCACACAACTGACCGCATTACCCTTTACTGAGTTTCAACCAGGGAGGTAAGTCACTTCTAGCAGTTTTATCTTTGCATTGGCCAGTCTCTTCGAAGGAAGAAATGGGCTCTTAAATAGCCGTCTTTTCAACCGTGTCCTCCCTTGCTTTCAACTTGAAAGTGAAATGATGGCTTTTAGGTCAGTCAATGTAAAAAAAGAAAAAATATTCGGAGCTATGAACATTTCATCCTTTTCTGAAAATTTCATTTAGCATAAGCAAAAACAATATTTAAAATTTTCGACAAGCTGCTTCATGATGCTACTAGGAAATGCAAGAATCAAGACTACGGTCAGAAAATAGCTACAGAACATCCAGTAACTTGGGGAATAAGCAAGCAAAGGCTGGAGTGAACACACCAGATGCCAAAAGAAAATCCGACTCCTGTTCTTCACAGCAGGCATGCCAGGTTGGGCTGAATCAGACTTTGCAGATGTCACAAGTCCTTCATGCTCGTAGTATCGTATTTGGTTCTGCACCAACACCAGCATAGCAAGGTTTACCCATCAAGAACCCAAAGCTTTCTGTAAATGGCATTTAGGAAAACCTCTCTTTTTAACCTCACTCCAAATGCTCGTTAGCAGCAGATTACAGTCCGTAAACTGAACTAGCAGCTCACAATTTTCACACGTTTGCTTCAGATTAAACATTCCTGCTATTCTAGTTTCAGGAACACGAGTGGCCTTTTAGCAGCATTTCCTCTTAACAGCTTAATTTAGGGTCTGTCCAAATAGCAAGTCATTGCCATCCTCCCACTCTAAATGGAAACTATTACCCAACTACTTTATAGAGAGGCCCTTTAACATTTAGCATCCCCTCCCCTGCATGATCCAAACCCAGTAGCCATCTACAGCCAACACCAGACCGCACAGAAGCTCGTATTGCGATAGTCATTGGTTTGTAGTCAGAGCAAGCTTATAAGCAGTATTTAGATGGCGCAGAAATTATTTAGCCCTTGTTCCATTGAGATCTTCAGTCACCTTTCCTCTAGACCTAAACAACTGCACTTCAATTAATGGAGCAAATGCCCCCAAAGCCCCAGTGGTGGCAGGAGCTGCCATGTGAGTGGGGTTAGGCAAGCAGTTAGGAATTCTTAAACCCAAATCAAGGCTAATCCCACCCAGATCATCCTCTGGCACGTGAATATTCCATCACAAGCAACCAATGGATTCACATCGTGCTTTTTTTGGTCCACATTAATGTGGTAGCAGTTTCTGAAATAGTTACTAAAAAGTAGCATTGACGATGTCTCTATTTTAGACCTACATAGGAACTAGGACACTAAAGCAGTCTAGTTTCTGGGGAAAAATAATAATGAGATTATGCAGACTTATCAGCAGGACATTTCCTTGTCTATATTTAACTGAATAAGGAATGCAGAAACTATGTATAAAAAAATAAATCAGAGTAACTAATAAAAGCCATTTTGCATTTTTGTAGCAAATACAGAACTGGTATCTCAGGCATGTAAAAGCGCCTGGCAAATAACTGGCTGCCCTAACCTGAAGTACCACACTGGCTGCAGGAAGCCTTCAACAGCCCAGGTAGAGTCAGAGGACAGCCAAACCACCACTAGAATTGGACTAGAAGCAATTTCTCCACTTTCCATCTCTGGTGTTAAAGCAGCCAGCCTAGACTAATTTCCCAGGCTCCCAGTTTGAACTCGGGCTTAGAGATAACTAAGACAAAAGGAAAATAAGTATACTGCACAGATTCTGCCCAAGGGTAGAAAGCAAATCTGAAGCATGCTCATGTGTTGACCAGCTAAGAAAGAGACAGGTGCTTCCTATACCATTTTCATTCATATGGAATGAAGTTAGCTACGCACAGGAAGCGTTCAAGAATCTTCATCAAGAAGTACCTTAATAACACTGTGCATTACACAGCCATGCAAATCAGATATCAACAGAGCACAAGGAATATGAATTCTGACATTAACTTTTAAGATGAAAGGGCAAAACTGAGGAACAACTGAGGTTTCAGAAGGCAGCAGTTTAAAAATGTATTAAATAATTCTTCAGCTGCGAGACAGCTGCCAAGGTCCTTGTTTGTTAAATAGCAGAGGGAGTAACAGCAGCGATGGTGTAACACCAACCTGCATGACTCAAGATTTCTATCTCTGGAACAGCCTCAGAGGACAGTCAAGTCCTCCCTGAAGAACACCAAGTTGAATAAGTATTTTGCTCAGAGGAAAGGTGTGGAAAGGAGCAGACCGTAGTGTTATCAGTCCCACGGTGACAGCTGTACTACAGATGAGGAAAAGAGTTTTCCTGTAGCTGGACTTCCCTCAATCCATTCCAGGAAGTCTTCAAATTATTCCTCAGCAGATAAATCATATTCCCTTAATTCACACTTTTTTTTTTTAAAGGATCATTCAGACCTCTTCATGTTCCAGCAACAGTTCATCTGTTATACCCAGTATTTGCCCCATCTGTTCTTTTTTATGCTCAGAATCTTTGTGTACCCAGTGAGTAACCTGTTCATTTTGATAAATAAAATCCATCTTTTTGTTAGCTAACCGGAAAGATACAGGAGAGTTATTTTCATCTATTACCCATATCACAGACCCCGTCCTGGCATGTTCATTTTGAAATAAAATCCATCTTTTTGTTAGCTAACCGGAAAGATACAGGAGAGTTATTTTCATCTATTACCCATATCACAGACCCCGTCCTGGCATCTCATTCCAAAGAGCTCCTACTATTTACCCAATTCAGTCAGTCCTTCCCTTTCAAAATGAGCTCCTTTCTGGGTCTTCCCACCATCTTATTTGATGTTTGGCCACAGCCACAAGGTTGAAGTTTGCTACTGTACGCAGAACTTGTGCTCTGCGAACCT